CTGATTACAATTACTTTTATTTTGTAATTAAATTACATAATTCCGTTACATGTAACTAGTTACTCCCCAACACTGGGCTTAACATAGAGGCTTATTTTATGCAACTGGCCCCTGAGTGTCTGAGAGACGCGTTCTGTGCGCGCGCTTCTGGTGTATGCATTGAGTTCTTTATTAAACATCATGCACTTCCTGAGTTCGCAATCGCATGCTGTCTGATAGTGATGGGAAGTCTGGTTCTTTTCCGCAAACTGGTTCTTCTGGACAGTTTGTTTCAATGAACCTGTTATTTTACGCCCTAACGTAATGACATCATTCGTTATGACGTAATGACTATCGTCCCGGGTTGGGATAAAAATACACACATTCCTCGTAATCCATGTCTGTATAAATGGGCATTGGACAGACAAATTAAAGCTGCGAGACCCTGAGATGTTTGAGAAGTCAGACTGGTCCAGATTAAACCTCACAGATTGTGCATTAAATATTGAGCAGTGCAGGTTAGATGAGGTCAGTTTCAGACCTCACTTGATCATAACTAATATTCTGGATCCTCAGATAGTATATACAGCATTGCTGTTCAGTCTATCGCTATAATTAACCAAGAGAAAACCATCTGTTGATGATTAATTGGTATTAAAGATGGGAGCTAACTGCAACTGCTATGAAAAAAAAATATTTGCATGTAAGGTAGCATTCTTTACTTCCAGTGGGTGATTAACGGACTCGGGTGCCTTAGTGAATGACGTCAAGAAAAGCAGCATGCTATGATTATGATGATGACTATTGATCAAAGACGTTGTCAGGATGTTGGCATTTAAAACAGCATGGTCTATTCTGGTAGCGTCACAGACAATAGAGAAAGAAACATTGCTAACTGCTTAATGGATTATGATTTAACAATAAAAATATAAAGGGACTGCTTTTAAACTAAAAGTGAGTATAAATTCTTCCCTTATTGATAATATTAACTCTTTCCCCATTTATGAGACAATGCTTCGCCGCCATTGACGTAGTTTTCCTGCTCTCCGTGTTTCAGGGTTCAGCCCAAATTGGTACTCAAAACTAGCCCAATCACAGCTAAAACTAGCCCAGTCACTTTCTGGAGGACTTGGCAACACTGCCGTGTTTTCACTGGTGTTTGGTAGTAGGCGCTATTAGACATCTTCTGGAAAAGTATTGAATGTCTTGATCAAAACACGGTGAAGAAGAAGCAGAAACAAGTGATTAAGTAGATACATATATAAAATAACGCGATTATCAAACATTAAACAGCATATAAATCAAAACTGCCTAACATTAGTGAATGTATTAATGGAACCAATCTGCTCCAGCTGTGTTTTGATCATCGTTCTGAATCTGATCCGGATGTAGTCTTTGACAAAAACATGATTTTCTTAGATTTTTGTTCAAAATGTTCCTTTTTGTTTTGTTTTGTTTTTTTAAATGAAACTTGCCCACATTCAAGTTTTGATTAAAAAAAAGAATGCATGATGCTAAACGTTTTTTTTCTTCATTTTTTTTAAATATAGGCGTTTTTTGACATTAATTTATTCACACAACAAAATATTCTGGGGGCAATGAAAGTTTTGTGACAATTACGAAAAATGCTGGTGGTAGCTGACAACCTTTTTTTTAAAGACACTGACAGGGAAAGAGTTAAAAGACATTTGGTTTACTTGTGTATGTGAAACATTTTTGTTCGTGTTGAGCTGCTATTTGATGTCCAATGTAATCTGAAATGTATCATGAAGCAAAACCAGTTGAGAAGCAGATTTAGACGTCGGTGATCGTACTTCATGATTATGTCAGTACTGCCGACACACTTATTAGGACGCTTCTGTTTGCTTGGCTGCTGTCCATGCATATACGGCTGTGTTTGTTCTGCAGGTCCCGTTTGGCCCAGTTTCAGTACGACTGCCAGCCTGAAGAGCAGTCTGCCACCGGCTGCAAACAGGGAAACTACGCCGCATGTCTTATTGCTTACACTGGACTGATAGGTGAGTGGTTTAAAGCTGCTTTAGACAATTGTTCTGCAAACTGGAAAAGGAATTGCATGCATGATTGTGGCTGGCCATTAAAACAGGAGCGAGGCTGATGTAATTGGTTTGGAGAGTGATACCTTGGTTATTCCCTTGCTCAAAGAAACACAGGGACACCTGTGTGTCTGTGATGAGAGACTATAAAACTACCCAGGCACTTTTAAAGTCATGGAGAGATTGATTTCACTTCCCAATAAAACAGATTGAAAGCAATATTTTTTACGAGGCTTTCTGTTACATAGAGCCTTTTTGTTTGTTTAGTTCTGCTTCATGCTCATTTGCTATATATTGAGCAAACAGAATCCCTTTTAAATAAATCTCTTTTTTAAACAAAACTTTCTATTCAACAGACATACTTCTGGCAGGAAAGGAAATTACATTTTCCAAATACAAATGTTTGGAATTAAGTTTTTTTCTTAAAAGCTGTCTCTTCTGCTTACCAAGGCCGCATTCATTTGATCAAAAATACAGAAAAAATAAATTATATATGTAATAGTTTTCTAAATGTATAATTATGAGTAAAAAGTAATTACAGCTACATATAGAGGGAGGATATTCATAGGTCATAAGTCAAGTCTGTAAAAGAGTCTTATGTATTTATACATTTGGATTAAAGGAATCTATATATCTGTTATGCAGTATTTCAGTGTAATTTTGTGTATTGATCTTCTTATGGGAAATGTCTACACACCTTGGTATCGCAGGCAGTCCAATCACCCCAAACTACGTGGACAACTCCACATCCAGCGTGTCTCCCTGGTGCTCATGTTCAGCCAGCGGGAATCTGAGAGATCAGTGCACTGAGTTCCTGAACTATTTCACCGACAACCCCTGTCTCAGTGAGTCAAAGCTCCTGTACTGTACATCATCTGAGTCAGACGTCATAAATGCTGGGAAGGTTACTTTGGAAATGTAATAGGTTACAGAATTACATTTAAAATGATATGTGAAAGGACATTGCGTGTGTAGTCTGGCAGAAGGACTCTATGGTTATTGTTAGTCAACATTGTAATGTCAGAGCAGAATCGCACGCTCTGGTTTAAACCCTAATGAGATGCAACTGATTTATCATTAGAGATGCACCGATGTATCGGCCAATTGTTTAAAAACAACCGATGATCAAGGCCGATTATTTCCTGTCAAATGTTTCTTGTGCTGAATTTAGGGCTGTCATTAATTCAGCTCTGTTAACACGGGTTCTATTCAACCCTATGAACCAAGGGTGTAGAGTTTAGTAGGGATGTTGTGACTTGTCCCTACCAATATCCAGTGACTACTAAATTGTCCCTAGCAATAATTTTGATCAAACAATTATATTTATGCATATGTAACCACTGTTGTTGAAATTTAGCTTTCAAGGACGTACGTTTAATACATGTGCGGAGTAAGAACATATAAAATAGCAGAAGTGTTTAAAGCACAGTTCAGCTGAATGATAAAGTTTACCCTCTTTAACTTTGTTGTTGAACTGAATGTACAAAGCAAACCATTTGCTGAAATATCCACAAATTTAAAAAAAACAACAACACTGAAATGTGTGGTTTATCTGTCAATCAGATGCAGGTGAAGTTGTGTTCGTTACTATAGCAACAGTAGGGTCACGGGTGAGTTCACGGGTGGTCCAATTCATTTTTAATATTAAAATAAAATGACGTACAGCGTAATTAAGACACCCAGCGCTCTGATGCTGCTGTAATGTTGTTGGTTTTACATAATCAAAATGGTGTATTATTATCTGATAAATATGCTAACATAAAAAGCCCTCTTTATGGATTATTAATATGTTGGCTACCATAGCTATAAATAAAGACTTTAGATGACATGAAACTGTGGTCAAACGTCTGTGATAAATGCGAAAATGTTGAGGTAGTTGGATGGTTTTGGGGGTGTTGTCTGCTGTTATTTCCCAACCAATGTTAGGTTGCCAGATCCACGTTTTTCCCTCCACCAAACATTATTTGTAGCACCCCTTCCATCTTATAATCTCTGAAAACGTTGTGCCTTTTTACATCTGACAAGAAACAAAGTCTCAGCTTTCAAGTCCTTTACATTTTATCACAAAATTCAAACAAAAAATGCTCTTAAATTTGGCGCGACAGATCGCTGTAGCAGCTTCAGTTCAGCTGAACATCAGAAGGTGGTGAAATATACAACTTGCCGAAATGTATCATGTCTCAAATAAGCACTCAATCAGCATTTTAACCAAAAGAAAGACATCAAATAAAACACCTTGTGAACAAATATGCCACTTAAAGTTGCATTAACCTCCGGAAAGTTATCCAGTGTTCACAGTTCATTAGTTAGTTATAAAAAAACACTAGAGGGGCTTTATTTACTGATAATTATATATGCATGTTTGAACAAACCCGTCCAGTTTTTATGAAAACTAACTTATGTGCAATTGAGTTGTATACAAATGTTTTTTTTTTTAATTTGAGTGTGATTATTATATCTGAAAATAAATAGCATTGAATATAATAGATTTGTTGCTCATTTTAACTTCTAATATTATGTACCAAATGAGAAGATTCCCTGTTTAGTTTAAAGCATTAGTTGGGAGAGATGTATTTTCCTTAATGAAGCTAAACTACCGATATCAGCAGATGTCATTCTGAATAATCGGCTATCGCTATCGGCGGAGAAATTTTGTATTGGTGCATCTCCATTTATCATAGTCAAAAGTTTCTAAAACTTTAAATTCAGAAATGAATCTTAAACACTGTATGCATTCAAACATCACATGCAGATTTGCAAATGAAGGCCACAGCAGTTGGCAAGGAGGGGAAATGCATTTAAAGCGTGCAGACGTTTTCTAAATAGGCGATGCTGACATAAGCTGCCCATAAACACATTTATAATTCTATAATTTATAATTCATAATTTATAATTATTTAATTAAAGTAGAAGTTTGTATTAAAGTCGAATGTCCTTCAGAACAGTATGAAGTGTCTCCTCTTGCTATTCACTGCACCATTAGTCATATGTTCTCTGTTTTACTGTATGTCACATCAACCTAGCGTTCACCGCCGCTGCACAGAAGACCAAACAGTCAGCCTGCCTCTCTCAAATGACAGAACATTTCAGAAATCACCTCATCTGTCTCTCATCGCTTGTGTCATGATTCTCCATTTAAGCAGAACCAGGGCATACTTTTTGAAAAGCATTTGAAGAGCGTCACTTTTTAGGATTGTCTGCCTGTGGTTTGTATTGGGATATATTCAGTAACAGGGTTTATCTATGTAGGACTATGACAATAATTCTAAAATAGAATTATTCTATAGAATAATTCTTTAAGAAAGGGTTTGCCTTTACCTAACCCTTAATACCAGTGTAACATTCTTGAAATCCATGGCGACAGAATATATGAGCGTTTCTTCAACTATGTGCACTTTCTTGTGTGTCCCATGAGTCGGTCAGTCTTACTATTCGGTGCCATTTCAGCTTGGTAAATTTCTATATATATATAAAAAAAAAAAGTTAAAATTTCCATGGTTTAATCATTTTATCTGAAAAAGGGCTTGTTACACTACAAGAAAAATACAAGGTCCAGCTCAGGATATTATTCTTTAATAATTTTTCACGAAAATCTTCACACATGCAAAGGCCAAATGTCCACCCTGTTACAGGACATTCTCATCTCAATTAATATGTGTTTTGCATGCACAGTTATTGTAATATTTATATTTTCTAAAAGCTAAAATGTCCCTTTCTTTACCCTGCAAAAGTTCATAAACCGGCATTATCTTGTTGTTGTAAAAAAGTTGGGTTACACTTTATTTCGATAGTCCACTTTAGACATTCTATTAACTATTAGTAACTTTGTAACTACATGTCAACTACATGTCAACTAATTCTCATTAATTTGCAACTACATGTCTACTAACTCTCAGAGTAGACTGTTAGGGTAGGTTTAGGGTTAGTAGAATAAGTTGACAAAGAAAGTGTTAGACGATATTAAGCAGACAGTCTACTAATACTCTACTAACTGCTAGTTGACATGTAGTTGCAAAGTTACTTACTGTTAGTAGAATGTCTAAAGTGGACTATCGAAATAAAGTGTTACCAAAAGTTGTTGTATTTTAAGGCACAGTGTCATTTCAACATTTTCTTTTAGAATAAAAAGAGATTTCAATGGAATTTTGGCCCCATTTTAAATTATTTCATTATTTACCATTTCATTCCCTACAAGTAACCACAGATATATGCATTACATTTGTTGAACTTATTTTATTAACATAAAAAATACAGAAGTAACAGGGTGGACAGGGCATAACAGGGTTATATACCACTGAACAACAATATATGTTGTTCAATAATATGTGCATATTGTCACAATTTGCATTTTTACACAATTTACATTCATTACAACAGATAAGTGGTTCTGTATACAATTTATAGGATAGAAGGCCAATTATTGCATTAAAGTAAGTTGTAATTATACCTATTATTATTGTAAGATCTCATTTGTTATACTATCAGGATTCTTTGATAAATAGAAAGTTCAAAGAACAATATTTATTTGAAGTATTAATGTTTTGTAACATTATAAATGTTTTAAGTCACATTTGATGAATAAAAGTATTAACTTCCTAAAAACAATTATATTATTTAAATATTAAATATATATTTCTTTTTGCCATTTTAATTTTTTCACTATTTTTATTGAATATATTTATTGTCAGTTATTTTCCAAATTTTATAAAAAGTATTAACTATACCACAAACTACTTGGGATACATAAATGATACCTATAAAAATGACAAACAAACACAAAATCAATCAATCAATTAAATCAATCAATAATTTAATTAATAAAAAATAAAAATAACAATAATAATATTTAATAATAATACAATAAATAATAATGAAATTCAATTAAAATGTTTATAGTATCATTCCCACCACCGAAATATGATTTGAGGTGGTGGGAGGTGATATTTTTGTTTCATATAAAATGGACAAAAATTACAGAATAAATTCAGCTAGTGAAATGCGTTTGAGTTGGTTTTCTAAAAATTCACTGTGCCTGTATAGAAGAAACACCCATAAACAGTCTGTATTTAGATCTTCTGCTGCCGTTTACGTCTGACATTGAGGTTTGGAAATGTAAAAAGCTATCTGAAGTGCAAAGCTTGTTCTAAACCGCAAGCATAAATTAATCTCTGATTGATATCCAGCCCCCTCTCGGTCACACTCCTCCAGTCGCATTCCTGAAGGTCCTTATGTATTATATATATCGCGATTTATCAATACGGCCGACTCTGTGGCAATATTCAGCTCAGTCCTGTTCAAACAGAGATCTCTTACATGAAGTAACTCGTCAGAGAGCCAAGTGGCAGCTCTTGGAGTGAGCGATGTAAGCGGATGAGAGTGATGTTTGGTCAAGCCACTCATCTGTGAGTTAATGAGAGGATGTGGAGAGGCAGGTGCAGAAGCGTGGCCTGAGCAGAATACTGAGCGCCGCTCAGTCCAGAATTCTAATAAGCGTCTGATAACACAAGCAGTTGCGAATGGAAATGATGTGTGTTTGTCTCAGCTGTGGATGTCTTGTCTGTTGAATGAATAGGGAATGCTCTCCTGACGTTTGGGAATGGAATGGACTTCACGCCCACTCCCACCCGACTGCTGCAGTTAAGCCCTGTGACGGACCGAGGGCCATGGAGGATGACTGTGTTTGTCACCATGGAGACTGAACAGAACGCTCTGAGCCCAGCCAAACCCACACAGGTGAGGGTTAGAGATGAGGAGCCATTTGGTTATGGGTTTATAACTGCCTTGATTGTAGTGTGGCTCCGAAGGAAAGGGCTTTACACAATAAAGAGCCATTTCATCTGTGCTGCTGAGAGATTGCAAAATTGGGCCGATTTCTTTAGAGCTGTATAAAATGGTAAATGGGGAGTCTCTTACGGTAAAACCAGGACTGCATGATTAATAAAACCGAAATTGTGATTATCAAATGTTGAAGGCCGCAGTTCAATGGAATAATAATATGAGCTGCGTGTTTCAGAGTGAAGTGCAGCACTGTGTTCTTTCAGTGTTGGGGTAAAGAATTACAAGCTATGTAATCAGATTACTTTTTCAAGTAACTAGTAAAGTATTGCATTACTTTTACATTTTCTGCTACTTTTTCAAATACATAACACAAGCTACTTTGTTGTCCCATTGATTCACTGACAGCTCTCCTGTCCCCATGTTGAGAGTAAGTAGGAGTGAGGTTCAGAGGCATTTCTCTCAGCCTGAAGCTCATTCATTTCACTTTTGGTGTGAAAAGGCCTTTACTGTTGCCAAAAATATAACTTTTGAGTTTTTTGTGATTGGCTGAATACCTCAAGCGTGTGATGGAAATGTTACGTCCCTCACCATACTGTGATGCCGTGTCCCGGCCGGAGCGACGAGACAAAAACATGAAAACACATTATAAACGAGGCATTTGTTGCATCCAGTGGGGACATAATTACGGATTATAATGACTTATACTGTCTTTTTATGCATTGCGTTGCATCGCGCCGCGTAAACATAAAACCCTGTCTGCATTTGTGATCGGAGAAATGACAAACAACAAGCGCTACTCTACACTGCTCAAAACTCGTGTTTGAATCATCAGTGGCAAATGTTTTAAATATGAAGGGTTAAATATCCCAGGCTGGACTCCGCTTCGTCCACGGTGAAAGCTGATCCGGCGATCCACAGCGCTAAGTTGATGTATTCCCTCAGCGACCAGCACGGATCAGCTCCAGGCATGACGAAGCAGATATCATCCTCTTTTGGAAGACCAAACAAAGTAGTTTCGCTTTCACAAC